AAATTTCGCGGGTGAAACCACGGCACAGCTAGTCATTTATAATAATAGTATGGGTTTACTAAACAACTTATTTTTAAACAATTTAACGTATTATTATTGAGTTTTTTTTTTAAATAAAAGGAGGCCCTCATCTGACGTATTTGCAATGAACCTCACATAGAAAGTACTTAAGCCAGTGTATAGAAGGCAGCCTGAATACTGAAAGGAAACTTTTCAATAAACCTTTAGGCTAGAAGATGATATACAACCGACCGACTGACAGTATTATAATAAAACCATACCTTACCGGCTTTCAAGCGTGGCAGATTTATCATATTTATTTGCCGGCCTTGATGGTCTGGCTGTTTACCGCAACGATTTATTTCCGATAGGCGCGGGTTCGATTTTTATACGATACAAACAGTTTTATTCATGAGTAGAGTGACCTTGGTGTTTTCTACATTATTTATTTATATTAAATATATACACTAAAATTAATTATATCTCTTTGATTAGCGGTTTAGCTTACTTCCGATGGGCGCGGAATTTATTCTTGTATGATGCATCATATAAGAATAAAATAATATATTTGTAAACATTTGTATTCCTGAGTATGATGATTGTTTGTATGATGATGAATATTCTGTTCATATGGGGTGTTTTCTGTCTATATGATGTAAGTATGTATTTACATAAAAATGGATATCAATTGTTTAGTTTTTTTTTTTCGGACTACTCTAATGTTGTTGGCCGCAGCTGGCCTTTACAGGTTCACCGGACGTTAGGGGGCGAGTGCAGATGGCACTCCAAACCCGCGGAAGGACTTATGGAGCGGCTGAAGGCCAACTCCTGCCTGACGGATACGACTTTAGTCTGAGGGCACCACTAGGGATTCGAACCTCGGCTCAGGCCGTCGTAATATCGATCCCCGTTTGAATTGGACGGGGGATCGATCGGAGGGGTTTATTGTTTAGTACCCATAGTACATACAGGCTCTGCTTATTTTCAGTCTAGATGGAATGTGTGAATTGTCCAAGGTTATATTATTATTTATGTTTCATTAATTTTATGAAGAAACCCGTGTCATACAATGAGCTAATAATATGTTGTTATGACACTAAATCAGCAGGCAATGATTCATAGTGACTAATATTAACACAAATCTGTACTATTGTAAAGAGGAAATATTTTTTTTATTATTTATTAATTATCAATGCACAAAAACTATGTGTACATATGGCGGACTTAATACCCTGCGGCTTTATCTACCAACCATGAGTGGTGCAGAGAATGATTGTTGTATATAATATATATGTTGTATATATATAATATATTTGTGTTATATTTGCAATGTACCTAAGCAAAATTCCTAAGTAGATAAAGATGTGGCTGCGTCTACGTAACTATTTTTTTGTCCTCGAGTATATTTGTGATCAGTCCTAAGACTATAAGCGAATCTGTTCTGTGATGCAATCATGTAGAGATGTAGAGTGGCTTCCCATTAGAAATTTCTACTCAAATGCATCCTAGAGCTACTGCTGGTCTTCTAGCTCCAGTCCAACTAACTAAGTCGTTATTAAATCAGCGCGTAACAGACTGTCTCTGTGTTTGTTTATCTACCCCTTATATAACAGTTTCTTTTGTTCAAATTGATAATTATGGTGGCCAGTTCCGTCCCTTTCCCTACCTATAGCTTATACCTATCTTTCTAGATGTTCACTGTAAGGCAACTATTAATTATGAACACCATTCTTAGAAAGTACTCCCTTGAGGAATATTCCCGACACAGCAGCGGTTTTATATCTAAACTGAGGCAATAGAATATCTGCATTCTCAAATTTAAGATCTCATTCATTAAAATATTCTTTTGCTACCATGTTACCTTTCTATACAACAAAATAATTAAAAGAATTAATATGAACTCTATGACTAAACCTTTATGTAAAAAGCGTATCAAATTCTCTCAGGAAATAGAAATCTTTTCTGGAAAATAAAAATAGACATTCTAAGTATATCTATCAAATTCTACACTAAATTGGATTAAAACGGAAATCTAAATAACAAGATTTGTATGTTCAATTTGACATGGCTTATTTCATGGATATACATACCCTCATCTCAATAAATATTATTAAATTACCGATTCAAACAATTAGTAGAGAATGGGGGTCAACCTACAGTTAATGTGAACCAATTGGAGGCATACATCATGTTATTGATATAAATTAATCTTAATTGGTTAGTTCTGTCTGCTATTGATTGCCATACATCATTCTATTTATTCATGTAATAATAAGGCATTGGTTGCTATGTAGTTATTTAAAGTGTATACATTGGATAACATTTTTAATATATACACACCCATAGGAAGTGCAGCATGTCCATTCAAATAAATATTTAACAAGATTCTAAAGTCTAATATACAGTTAACAACATTTTCAATATTTGTATACCACTACAGGGACTTAACTTATCTTGTAATTTTATTAGTAAGATCAATGCAGCAAGCAAATAAATAAATCATTATTATTCTATTTTCATGTCTTAACAGCTTAAAATGCCTGCAACCATTTTCATAGCTTTTTAGGCCTAGAAATCAAGATGCTTGGTAATTATCACATACACAGACATAGAGGGATTGAGTAGGCAGATCTTGTTCATCAACCTTGTATGTCAACCTCGGGTACATAATATTATGGTTGTATGGTCTATTAACACACAAACATAAATATAAACAACTTATGTCCTTTTGAGGATATCCAGGTACCAGGTAAATGCATGCATTTTAACAAGTTATAAAATTGGTTAAATCAAGAGAAGTAAGTTTATATAAATGCTTCAACATTACGGGCTCGCCTAACTGGAGTCTGCAAGCAAAGTTGTGTGGCGTCCACTTCACATCTCACCACCAAGTATTACTCTATGTGCCAACTATTATATTTTCATTCTTTGTATTGTCTATAACACATATTTTAAATTAAACAAATTTACAGTCTGTCTAAGTATTTTACTTGAAGTTCTTGGCTTAGGACCCTACACATAATTATTAACCTGTTTATAGTTTCTAAAACCTTGTAATTGTTATGTAAGAATTGTTTTTTATATCAATTATAATTGAAACAAATATAAATGAAGTACATACATGAATAGAAAATCTATGTATTAAAATTAGCAATCTCTTTGAGCTAAAACCAACAATGGAAAAGTTGTATGGCTGATATCACTTATCAGACAAAATTACTATGACATTATAAATAAAATGCACTATATTTAATGATATTTGTATTCCTTCATTGTTTTGGCAGCTTTTGCACATACAAATGGTATATTTACTCAAAATTATTACACTCATGTGTAACAAAATTATAAAATACTAAATATATTTGATACTATGTGGGGAGAAAACAAATACTTCTGTAAATATAAAATATGGTTCAAATTAAAGATTTAAGTTAGTAAGATTCAGTTTGAAGATTCAAAAATATTTATGTCTTTAATTTAATTCCAGTTAAAAGTTAAAAGTAGTCATCATATACAGGTTTTCCACTTAACTATCATTAATTTGGGTCATTGTATAGGTATTAAAATGCACAACAGCCCAGGTTAGATGCTAAATGGAGAGATGCAGAATTAATTTTCTTTTTTAAAATAACCCTGGACAATTAACAGTGTCATCTATTCCCACGATAAGCAGAGCTTGTTTTATGAGTACTAGACAATTGATATAAATACTTAAATACTTTTTGTAAATACTATAATATACATAGAAAACACCCAGACCAATACTCATGAATACAAATGTTTGCACTGTGTGAGGAATTGAACCTGCAATTATCAGATATAAAGCAGTAGATCACAGAAGCTGTTTATTTATTTATCAAATGTTATACATTGTCATTTATATTTTTTATACTACAATGGTGGTAAACAAATGCTGGGTTTTAAACCCATGAGATGAATAAACAGTTACTATAGCCTATAGACATCTAAAACATTATAAATCACATCACATACACCTGAATTATTTAATTAAATATTTACTTTATATTATCAATACAATAACATGAGGTTTGTGCTACTAATATAAGATAAATTATATTAAGGATTGTAATGCAAGTATTTGAACTATTACCAGCTATTAATAATTGAGATATAGGTATATATAATATATTAGCAGACCCGGCCATGCATTGCTGTGGCTAAGGTTCTTGAATTAAATAGTATTGTGACTATATATTGAGATGTAAGCTATCTTTCAAGTTGGATCAAATAGTACACAATGTGCTAATCAAATTTACAATCGGTTCAGTAGTTTAAGAGACCATCGCATACAAACAATGTGACACATAATTTTTCTTTCTAACTTGCTAGGTATTGTGCTAAGAATTAAATTAAACCCATTAGATCATTTATCAATTAGTTTCATTAGTCGATGTAACTATGAAGGAGTGACATAGATTGAAAAACATAGATTGTACAGTTTTAGGTACTTTAGAAATATTTGAGATGGAAGAGATTCAACAGAGAATGAGTGAAAATGCAGATGAAAACACTCTAAATGTATGTAACTTGTAACTTCCCTATTACATTAATAGAATTCTACAGGATGTAACCATGAAAGTTGCTAAGAGACCACATGGAGGTTGATCAGATAAGGTACATTCCTACCAATGAGATCACTATGTTCCAAAACTTGCAATCCCCTCCCCCCAAAATATTATTATAAAATATTTGAAACTATCAAGAAAACTCAAGAAATTAATACTTAGTCAGTTCTGAATAGCATAGTGAAGAATACATGAGTATACACAGCAGATATAAAATAAATGCAAAAGAAGGTAGATTTGGTGAAATTAATGTGCCCACCTACTTAACAAGAAATTGATTGATACCGTAATGGATACGTAAGTAAAACACGCAATAATGAATATTCTGATATACAAATCATAAATTCTCAGTAGAAATTAATAGTGCAGAACGAATTGTAGAAAATAAATGTAATATAGGTAGTAGACACTTACATGTTCTGCTAAGTGAATCACTATTAGACATCCTAATAAGGGCAGAAATGTCTTCAAAAACCTCTCACAAACACGAGCCATCGTTGCACAGTGTTCACAATTCAACTATATCGATTATAAGCTTTTGTCATATCATAATTACACATAAAAAGAAGTTCTTTGTATAATTTTCAGTGGAAATATTTACGACGCACTTTCATGCACTACTCGGTCACAAATCACACTCGATCGTTGCGGATGTAGAATAAAGTATATATAATGACATGAGTGACATTGACAATTTGATAAAGACTAGCCTACACTGTATGATGATTAAAAAAAAAAATTGAGCAAGTAATCACTATGCTTACGAAACGAGTGTTACTCATAATATATGTACTAGCTGCCGCGTAAATAATGAAAAAATATTTAACTCAATTAACACAATATAAGTCAAATAAATAAGTTTCATCGTTTTAGCTTCAAAAATGATAAAAAGTAAAAATAAATATTTAATCAATAGGCTAAAAAATAAATTTCAAACTTCTAGCTTTAAATATGACGATACATCTATGTATATAACCTTGGATCTACCCTTTCAATCCTCTTGCAACCCTTTTTCACATTAAAAAGTAACCTATGTCCTTTCTCAGGATCTAGTCTATCTATGTCTGTTTCAAATTTCAATTTAAATCGGTTCAGTATTTTTGGCGTGTAAGCGAGACAAACAGATAAAGTTACTTTCACATTTATAATATCACTAAGGTATTTAATAAACTAACCCTAAAAAGACAAAGAAAAAAGTTTAATCGTTCTAGCTTCCACAACCACACAAACAGCAAATTTCCACAATAACTTTCATTCTCTATTTTATTTTACTACCCCCCCTCCCCCTAAGAGTAGACATTGTACAAACATTGAATATCATATTTATTGATATTTAAACAACAGCCTAAAAATGAGTCTCAAACTTCTAGTTTTAAAAAATGACGATTCTTCCATACAGCCTACCATTGCAACCCCCTTACAATCCTTTTTTCACATTCAAAAGTACCCTATATTCTTTGTCCGGGTGTAAACTAACTGTGTACCAAATTTCATTTAAATTTTTATTTTGTTTTGGAGCGTAAGACTGACAGAAAGACAAACAGAGTTACTTTCACAGTTATAACATTAGTGGGGTTTTTAAAAATCTACCCCAAAAGAACCAATGAAAATAGTTTCATCGTTCTAGTTTCAAAAATTACGAATTTACATAATAACTATCATCCCCTACTTTATTTTAAAAAACAAACAATGAATGTCATATTTATTTATATTTAATCAACAGCCTCAAAAATAAGTTTCAAGCTTCTAGCTTCAAAAATGACGATTTTACATAAAAACTTGCATCTCCTATTTTATTTTACCCCCTTAAGGGTATTTGTTTTTACAAACAATGAATGTCATAAGTATTTATATTTAATCAACAGTCTCAACAATAAGATTCAAGTTTCTAGCTTCAAAAATGACGTTTTTACATAAAAACTTGCATCCCCTATTTTATTTTACCCCCTTGAGGGTAATTTTTTTACAAACTTTGAATGACATATTCATTTATATTTAATCAACAGTCTCACAAATAAGTTTCAAGCTTCTAGCTTCTAAAATGACGATTTTACATAAAAACTTGCATCCCCTATTTTATTTTACCCCTTAATGAATGTCAATGTATTTATATTTAATCAACAGTCTCAACAATAAGATTCAAGCTTCTAGCTTCAAAAATGACGTGTTTACATAAAAACTTTCATCCCCTACTTTATTTTACCCCCTTAAGGGTAATTTTTTACAAACAATGAATGTCATATTTATTTATATTTAATCAACAGCCTCAAAAATAAGTTTCAAGCTTCTAGCTTCAAAAATGACGATTTTACATAAAAACTTGCATCTCCTATTTTATTTTACCCCCTTAAGGGTATTTGTTTTTACAAACAATGAATGTCATAAGTATTTATATTTAATCAACAGTCTCAACAATAAGATTCAAGTTTCTAGCTTCAAAAATGACGTGTTTACATAAAAACTTGCATCCCCTATTTTATTTTACCCCCTTGAGGGTAATTTTTTTACAAACAAAGAATGTCATATGTATTTATATTTAATCAACAGCCTCAAAAATAAGTTTCAAGCTTCTAGCTTCTAAAATGACGATTTTACATAAAAACTTGCATCCCCTATTTTATTTTACCCCCTTAAGGGTATTTTTTTTACAAACAATGAATGTCAATGTATTTATATTTAATCAACAGTCTCAACAATAAGATTCAAGCTTCTAGCTTCAAAAATGACGTGTTTACATAAAAACTTGCATCCCCTATTTTATTTTACCCCCTTAAGGGTAATTTTTTTACAAACAATGAATGTCATATGTATTTATATTTAATCAACAGTCTCAACAATAAGTTTAAGCTTCTAGCTTCAAAAATGACGAATTTACATAAAAACTTGCATCCCCTATTTTATTTTACCCCCTTAAGGGTAATTTTTTACAAACATTGAATGTCATTTTTATTTATATTTAATCAACAGTCTCAAAAATAAGTTTCAAGCTTCTAGCTTCAAAAATGACGATTCTTCCATACAATCTTTCATCCCCTCTTTTAACCCCTTACAACCCTTTTTTCGCATTAAAAAGTAGCCTATGTCCGTTCTCAGGGTCTAGACTATCTGTATACCAAATTTCATTCAAATCGGTTTAGTAGTTTTGGCGTGAAAGCGAGACAGACAGACAGAGTTACTTTCACATTTATAATATTAGTTTTTGTCGCAGCACAAAAATATATTTTTATCGTTTCCATACAAATAATAATTTTGCAGTATTAATCTACAAACCAACATTTTGTTATTTACAATCAGCTAAATAATTTAAATAGTTCCATAATATATGGCACAATGAAAAGGTCATTTATTTTATAAAAGAGACAGTTTTTATTTTAGTGAAAAATAAGAAAATTCTATTTTGATACAACAACCATATATTTATTAATACCTATACTTTATTAATTTTGTGTTAATGCTTTTTAAATAAACACCCACACATTATTTCTGTATAACCTACAAAAATGGGTAAATAATTTAATTTCGGATAGTGCCACACCACAACATTCTTTAAAAAATGTAAATAATAATAAATGTCAAATGTTGTTTCCCTGTTCTGAACAACTTAAAAAAAAACTATTAAGTTTTCTTTTTAAGTTGTTCAGTACAATCACAATTTCTTCAAATTTTATTATTATTTAACATTGGATATTGACTTTAATTTTTGTAATTTATATTGTAAAACTTTAAGTTGGGCTATATCCAGAGCCGTAAAACAAATTGATAAAAAAAATCGCCAAATTTGTCTCGCAATCGGCCAATTTCAGGTTTAAAGAAAAAACACATACACACGATATACGATTTTATCATAAAAAAGTGTCAAAAACAATATTTTCACTAAACGTCAACGTCATGTTTCCGGCAAGATCTTTCGTTTTACATTATGTTATCTGTGGTTTTGTTCTCTGTGATGGATACCTTATTGGCGCAAACGCACGCGATGTGTTGATTGGTTGTTAGCTAGTGAAATGAAAAGATGGCGAATGGCGCAAACGCACGCGATGTGTTGATTGGTTAAAAATGAAAATAACGAATAAGGATTCAACCGCATAAAGATAACCTTGTATTTCCATTTTGAACCCCTTACAACCCTTTTTTCGCATTAAAAAGTAGCCTATGTCCATCCTCGGCGTCTAATATCTGCGTACTAAATTTCATTTAAATCGGTTCAGTAGTTTTGGCGTGAAAGCGAGACAGACAGACAGACAGACAGACAGACAGACAGAGTTACTTTCGCATTTATAATATTAGTAAGGATAGGGTTACAAATAACGTAGACAAACGATTGTGGTAAGAAATTATAAATAGTAAGTAGTTATGGTAGTAAAATCAGTTATAAATAGAGTTATTATTATTATTATTAAAATTTGTAGAATTTAATACCCTATGTCATATTCGCAGCTTATACAAATGTTGACTGAAGAAGTAATATGTTGACTGAAAAAATTAAATCAGTAATTCTATACTTCGAGGACCTTAACATGTTATGGATGACAGAATTTATAATTGATTCGATATCGATTTCACTATTATTACAAAATGTTAAAAAGACAATAATTACCAATATCAATATAACTGCAATAAGGCATAAGTATTAGCACGAAAGACTTTTAGCGTCTATATTGTTACCGCTATTATTTATGTTTATGTTGTGTTCTTGTAGCAGCAGCGGGAAAGAAGGAGGTGAAATGATGAGTCCAGATTGTTGTTATGTACATATTTATAATTACGAAATATTTACAATGAATATATAGGTATGTACAAGAAAGTGATTCGGTCTCGAATGACAAGCTTGTTATTCTATTCGTTTGTCGTAACTAGGCAACGGTGTTGCCGCGCGATAATAGTTAATTCGCCACAGACTTTTTGAGTAATTGTTACAACAATCATAAATAATTTTATGTTAAAAAATAATTTAACGTACGTATTACAACATCTAGTATGAATAAATTTTATCGTGTTTCTTATTGATTTAATAATCCCTTTTTCTTGGTCGAAAGAGTAATTTTTTTGGTTAATTAATCTCACATCGCCATCCCTTATAAGTATTTCTCTTTGAGCAACCGAAGCTTATCTTCTGCGACTGTTACCTCAGTCTTTCTGAGCTGTCACTGTCACTGTTACCTTGCAATAACGCACGGAGTACAGTTTAATTGAGAAGGATTGCAAGCAAAACAAATAATAAAAATAAATGCGGTAGTTGTAGTACTGTGATAATTGAGAAATTAGAATCTGATACATGTTTGGTTTAGGTTTCAGAATAAAGGCTTTCGACTACATATAAAATTATTGTGTTAAGAATCGTCAAGCCGCATCAATAATAAGTCATTATTTATTTTAGAATTTAAGTTGGAAATGTTATGAAAATGTCTAATTTTACATTCAACACATTAATTAAGGTTCTATTAATCTTAGGTATGTACATATAAACTCTCAAAAATATTTCTATAACCGGTAATATAGAAATAATATATAAATATATGTTTCAGGAGTTATTGCATATACAGAACAGTTCGATGTCGATGAAGATCATTTGGCTGACACGCCAAATCTCGACAGCGATGTTCCCAACGTTGACGAGTCAGAATCCTTACTATCCAACGTAGTTTCCGATGTTAACAAGACTTTAACAAACTTCTATAACCATGTAACATCTGCTAACGTCACAGCAGAGAATACCACTCAGTCAGCTAATGAAACAAAGAAGCTTGTGAAATGTAAAGATATTTATGAGTCCGACGACCATTTGGACCCCACTGTTGAAATTATAAATGGCACATATTTATCCAAGTTGTTACAAATAAAACCAGATATCACAAGTAGGGATATGGAGGCAGATTGTGTTTTGGTATTATTTTATGCAAGACCGTGTCCATTTAGCGCTCACGCGGCCCCACACTTCAATGCATTAGCCCGGTCTTACCCTAATGTTAGATTGGTTGCTTTAGATGCATTGAAGTACTACGGTATTAATGCACAGTATGGGATTGTTGGTGTGCCAACACTGAAAATGTTCCACAATGGACGCCCAGTTGGGAAATTCAATGGCACAGAGTATAACATACAGTCATTCAGCAAATTTGTGCATGCCATCACAGGGAAGCATCCACAAGGGTTACTCGTCACATCAAAGGACTTCCAAGGCCCAGTATCGAGTGTTGTTGAAAAGGATACAGACCACTTTTTGATATTATCTTGGTTGTTCATTATAGTATGTGGTTTGTATTACTTTATGCAATCAAAATGGTGGAGAATGATTGTGGAGATGGTGCAGAACAATTGGAGAGAGAGTGAAGCACAGCACGAACACAATGATTAGTCTAATGTCATTCAATATTATTTTTAGGTGCATGTTTTTGTTACATTTATTAAACAGTTATATTTATGACAAGGCTGTTATCATAATATTATTATAATTATATCCTTATTTCGCTGATCATTCTATTTACTGTGTAATTGCAAAATTGAAGTCACTGTTGAAGTACCTTAATTTTAAATTCCAAAGGCATATATGAGAAATATATGTGTGTTACATGCTTTTCAGTTACTATAGGAATAAATGTGACAATGTATTATAAAACAAGAGGTATTGCAAATTCAATAATACATATCATACATGCCATTTGCTTGTTGCAAGTTTTATGAAATATTATTTCCCCTATAGTTTCAAATTAGGTTGTCAGCTCCTCATTTCATCAAGTCAGACTGACTTTTAACAAATATATTACCACATTTTTACTGATGTAGATATTAGAGTTGTAAGTTATCCTGGCCAGGTTCATTTATTGGCTTTCCTGGTATTGGATAAATAATAAAATTCAGATGGGAAAAATGTTGAGTGTAAAATTTTAAGAGTGAACAATATGTATTGAATTTGTAATGGATGTAAAGTAGGATTTTTATTATTTATTTCTTTGTATATTATAAAATAGACAAATGATTTAATAACAACAATGTAAACAAGAATATATATATTTTTTTTATAAGAAATCCAATATACATATGTTAAGTATCCATTTCAATAATAACATTGCTTATATAAATAATATTTATATACATATATAGAATTACCCTATATCGGCAGTTTCATTTTAATTCAGCTGGCATTTCAGTGCCTTGTATAGCAGCTAATATATTCTTAGCTGTCAATTCACTCATTACGTTTCTAGCTTCAATAGAGGCACTTCCGATGTGTGGCAGTACAACACAGTTCTTCAACTTAAATAATGGACTGTCTAAAGGTAAAGGTTCAGGGGTAGTTACATCCAGTCCAGCTGCCCTTATCGTATTATTTTTTAGAGCTTCAATCAAAGCATTTTGATCAACTGTACCACCACGGCTGGTGTTTACAAATACAGCTGAATTCTTCATTTTCTCAAATGCTGATTTATTGAATATCTCTTTAGTTTCCGGGACTAATGCTGCACAACATATCACAAAGTCACTTTCAGCTAGTAGATCATCAAAATCAACTTTGATTGCATCGACTTCTTTGGCTTCTGATCTCACACTTCTATTCCAGTAAAGAATTCTAGATGTATTGAAAGCTTTCACTCTTCTTGCGACTGCTTGGCCGATTCTTCCGAAACCTACGATACCGACAGTGGCACCAGCCAAACCTGGCCCTGTCATCCATGTTGGTGCCCATGATACCCACCCACCGGTTCTTGCTTCGTGTTGAGCCTCCGGTAATCGGCGTGACGTTGATAGCAGAAGGGCCAACTGGAATGAGACATATGCATAGTATATAGTTTTATTTGTTATCAGAGAAAACTTTCACTAAATTAGCATTATTTTATTATGGCATAAATGTGATTTTTATTACAAAATTGAAAAAGTAATCTGATTGATTAGTCTTTAACTCAATTATTAAGAAATCAATTACTAGAATAAATACTTTATATGGCTTTGAAAAACATACAGTTGTAAAAATACAACTGTATTTTTTTCAAGCTTAGCAAGCAAATTTATTAAGGAATTTATTATTTTTATAGCAAATTTCAACTGGTAAACATATACAATATAGTAATTAATGCAATCATTATCATTTTAACCTATATTATCTCATATTTCCAAATATGGTTATAAGTTATAGTCTTCTTTTTTTCTTATTACTAATAAATACATTAATATTGTCTACTATCTGTTACCTTGTCTTCCTATGTACAAACTCTACTCTATTATTCCCTATCATTATGTCCATACTGACTACAATTTATCTTCACGTCAATTCTAAAGCAATTCTAGTTCAATTCTAAAGCAGCACTAGCAGACTCATACCAGATTAGCCTGGGCAGGGAGAGAAAAGACTAGGCACTGTTTATGCCAAGTTCATCATGTGGCAGAGGTGAATTCATGTGCATTGTGCCAAATATATATGTATAATCATATCAACTTACTGTAAGTTCAGCTGTAGCATCAGTTAGTACATCAGGTGTGTAACCAACTTTAATGCCTCTTTTCTTGCACTCTTGCACATCAATGTGGTCGTATCCGACAGAGATAGTCGCTACTACCTTCAGGTTGGGTCCTGCGGAGTCGAGGATATCTTTGTCAATTTTGTCAGTGAGGGAACAATAGATGCCAGCTGCACTTGATACTTGTTTGAGGAATTCTTCTCGTGGTACTGGTGATGGTTTAGGCCATGACCTTACATCACACCTGGCCAACAAAAACATGTATCAATTGTATTTACATATAATACTTATAGGTGGAGCGACAACATATGTAGGGTTGCAGGTGGTAACTGGATGAGATTGTGCCCAGTGGAGTGCATTTTGAGAGGTCTACGTCCAGCAGCAGACTGCATTGGGCTGATGTTGATATATTTTTTAATTTTAAATAAATAATTTATTTATTTTCATTCATAATATTAATTAATTTTGTTTTTTATTAGTTGGTTGTTGTATCAACATAAACTAGAAAACTTGTATTACTCTTTTTTTTTTAATCAGATGAGTTTCTTGCTCTTTCTTGTTAATTAAGTCTGTTCTACAGTGTATAACATGTATATCAACTTCTATAAATATTTATATTGTATTTTGTATGTTGTAACTATAATAATATACTTTCATAACTGTATATTCTAGTTGGGGGATTCAGAGGTGTGTGTCGAGGGAAAAATGCAATATGTGACATGACAAATAAACTTAAAAATATATTTTAATCCAGAGTTTGTTTTCAGGGATTCCATCACCAGAGAGGCAGTCAGTTGTAAATCAAATAATTGTATGACAAAACTTACTCTTTCTTTAGTAATTCGACGCCACATTTTGGCATATCGCTGCGAGTAATATAAACGACTGGTCTTCCTGAACTCATTTTTCTTGTTAAACTCCGGCTACAAATTAACCTCGATGACAATCGTACAATGCCTTTATAGACCATTAGAGAAACATAATAGGTATACTATACTAAATCAATTTCCTATTTATTTTTTGCAAATAAATACTAAGTAACTAGAAGGTCACTGTAATTATTTATCCGGCATGTATTTAGGCCGCGAATCCAATGCTTGTGAATTACTCTCGTCTTTGAAATACGAAGGTTTGGCTACGTAGATCGTGATGTGAAGTGCAGCCACTGTAGCCAAGATAACCTTGCCCTTTGTCGACTTTATGAATGATAGTGCGCTCATGTTACAACAAATCTAGTTGTTATCAATTACATAATACAATCCAATAATTTGGTGGTAGGATAGAAAATAAAGAATAAAGTTATACTGGTGTTTTTTCATAAATCTCGTGACATTAACAATAACAATTGTCCTCAACTGTCACTGTCATAAATTATCATTGTCAAACATGACTGTCAGTGGCAAGAGAATTATTAGTGTAATATACGATACAAAAATTATTTTAACCTTATTACAATACACCTAATGTTCTTTTTTGATTAAAAATGAATTATAGAAGAACATTATCTCTTGAGGTTTATTTATAAGGAACTCCGTCCCTTTCACACAGCCCAGTATGTTAATAATATTGCCATGGTACAAAAAACACCAGTGTCAATAAAAAATTACATAATTCCGTTTTAAATTTGATTTCTATGCGCATTTGTAACAAATTATAATTATACTTAAAGTATTAAATAAATTAAAATTTATTTGTTAGAAATTATCATGATTATTATTTCTAGTTTATGAGATATATATTATTAGTATTTTATTACACTCTGGTAGCTACTTTTATGCATAATCTCTTGCGAACTAGTTCCTTATTTTATTTTGTTCATTCTTGATTAGTCCGAGCAAGTTGCTTTTTTATCAATAGATATAGCTTCTATAGTGGGTATTGGTGTTTCAGACGTCCATAGGCTACGCGAACTAGTTCTAATTTCGTTCGCGAATTATACAAGGCTACCACTCATAATTAATTCAAATAGATTAAACAATGTATCTGTAACAAATAATAAAAAAAAAATTATGAACTTCATTTTCTAATGATCTTAATTTCTTTCTTTGTTATATTTAATAGGTCGTAACCGCTGTTGTAACTGAAATCGTTACATAAGTAGCGAATTTGATTTATGTGTCAGGACACACATAAATCAAATCCGCTACTTATAATTTGAATTTAATGAAAGATCCTATTGTCATATCATAAATTATCATTAATTTATTAATTGTGCCAGTAAATCTGTCTGTTTTATCTACATAGATTTATGTCTGCAGAATACCATAAAATTCTGAGGTGATTTTATCGAATTTTACGAAAACTTTTGTCATATTTTGAAAAGTTGAAACGTATTTTCTTTTCTTAGAGTTCAATGCGTGGGTTAATTTATGAAATATCCTATTCAAGTAATTCGTTATGTAAATACATTTATGAGGCAACGTCGATTTAAGGAGTTGTGGGTTCAAATATTCCTTGCCCGATTTTTCATAATTTTTTTCTTAACATCACATTATTCTCACCAACTTAATAGCTTTTTTTATAATGCATGATTGTGGATGGTATCTATACGCTGTCGGGGTACTGGACGAAGATAAAGTAAGTCCGGTCAATTAATTAATTTATAAATAGTGGTTTTTAGGGGGATCCGTATGGATATGGACATCGACCTTAAATGGCATTGATAGTCCCAGTTAATATAATTATTACTTTTACTATCGAGTCACTTATCACCCCAAAACATGTCTTCGGTGGGACCAAAGACATGATTTTCATTACGGAAATCTATTTCGCATAGATAATAGTAACAGTTATGCAACTAGCTTAATCCAGTATTGAATAATTTTAGCGTTTTATATATCTCCTATAAGTGGGGCATAACCAACCGTCTAACAAGTTTGCCGACGTAAACAAAGCAGTGAAACTTGGTAACCGGCAACCATAAGCCATAACCAGAACAATTCAGTTGGTTACCCATCGCCTCGTCGACAGGTTGGGTTGCTTTCGTTACTTTTTAATTTGATTTATATCGGACAAAGGCGCGTTTTGTGAAATGATCAATATCGCCGTGTTGTTTTAAATATCAATATACATTTTTGGATGCAGTGTTGTAAGGTAAGAGGTAATATTAAAATACTAATCACAACTTTAAATGAAAATACACATGTGATCTAAAAATGAAAACAATCGTGTAATCGTCAAAAATATAATTGTAAATAAAGAATATGCTGTCATTTTTCATTACTATTTATCAGTTCTTCTATTTTCACACTAGATCCTTTACGGAGTAGTCAGAGAGGTATAATATTTATATGCCTACCTTCCTTGACTTACAAAGGAGTAAAGCACATATAGTTTTTAGGACTGGGAACACATGAATTTAGAGACAAGGCTGTACATTCTTTTGGTGATTTATATTTACATTCATCGGGTTTTTCATCAATTTATTTGTTATTATTAATGATATTAAAAATGTGCGATCAATTACTACGTACAACCTACGTCATTGACCAAGTGTTACAGGAATTATTAATAACATCTAAATAATCATTGCTGTAATATAATTAACATATTATTGACGGCCTCGGTGGTGTAGCGGTTTACCACACAGCTTTCCTTCTGATGGTCGCGTGTTCGATTCCTCGCACGGTGCAAAAAATTGTATTCTAGAGTATGATAGTTGTTTGTTTGTATCGGTCTGGGTGTATTTTACGTAAGTGTCTAAGTATTTATATCAGTTGTCTAGTATCTATAACACTAGCTCTGCTTACTGTGGTACTAGATGGCGCTGTGTTAATTGTTCAGAGTTATTTATTTAATATTATAATCATGAAAGTTTGTAAGGATGGATGGTTGTTATAATGTTTAGTGGTTTTTGTGAGAAAGAGTAACAAACATTATAACTTCCATCCGTCGGATCCAAATGAATCTTAAATTTAGAACACAGATAAAAGATATAAGTATTTTTTATGCGTGAAAATGTTAACGATGTACCCGACTGCTGTAACGGTATACGCTGGCCGGCACCAGTGGAGGATGATAAAATGAGTCAGGTCATTTTACTTATCGCGATATTCACTCGGGCAGGGAAGTGAGCACGGGAGCAGCGGCAGAGTGTAAACACGAGTGGAAACACTTCCCATACCATTGGCGCTGCCCGGCGCTCCCTCGATTGTCGGTTTTTCGTGCGCGAGTCAAAGAACTGGCAGCACGAGTGGCAGCGTGTTTTTACATTCAGCCCTCTCGCTCAGTTGTCGCCCGGCAATATTTCCGGCAGCGCGAGTAGCAGGGGAAGCGTCTGAATGTAAACGTAGCATAAGAATTGAACACCAAGGTTGTATACCTGGGGGGATCGCGTGGAGATCTGACATGGTATATTGTTATGAATAGATTCACAAGTAACCATGACAAACAATTCCTTCATAGATTAACACATACTATATTTTTTATCTGCATTCCCACTCACAGAGTTTTAGGATATGGCTAGTATACTCAGTTGTATTGTGCTAGTGATTTTTACCTCTCTCCTTTCTCTTTTTCATTCTCATATAAATATTTCAGCCGCCAAGCTGATAAGCTGTGTTGCGGTTTAAAGGGTCAGATAAGATAGTGAAACGACAGAGTATGGAGAGACATGTCAAGATTCAGTGGCAGTTTGTGGGGTATTACAAATTAATTTTGTAATGTCCATTGCTCTGTACTCGATATAGATTATCGAAGACGCTTGCCTCTATGCATCTAGTGGGTAGTCAGATTGTCTTCGGTTTGCATAACAAAATATATCCATACTGACATTGTAAATTAGCTATTAAGTCGTGGATTTCATTTGTGTGGAATTAAAATAAATAGAATTTTTAAAACAAAAATAGCGTAAATTACTCCTTGAAACTTATTATCTATCTGCGTGTGAATGTCCCGCCAAAATTGATCCAGCTGTTTCAGAAATTAGCAACAAGAAGCAGTCTGTAAGAGAAAAAAAAAATTAAATTAATTTTTTGGTGTAAGTACATATTTATTTGTATAGATTCGAGTGTGCCTGTATGGTCACCTTTTCATGATTAAACAGTTAAACAGATTTTAATGGAATTGGGCGTTAACATAGATGGTGTCACGATGACGGATAAAGACTATATTTTATTTGAAAAGACGAAGTCGCGTGTAACAGCTATTCTGAAATAAATAATAATATTAATAATAATTTATTTGTGCACACTTACCATATAAATCACAACATTTAAAGGAAAAGGAGTATAATATGTATAACAATTAAAATTAACACTAGGGAACTAAGTGGCAGAAAGTTGAGTAAACCAATGTGAGGACCCTGATAACACAACTTTGTTTTTTGTTATGGATGATAATAGAATGGTGCATCCGGTTACACTGGCGGGGCACCAATGGAGGATGATAAGATGAGTGAAATAAATATAGTATTGAGATGGTCAGGTCAGTTAGCCCGTCATGACAAATTCACCAGGAATTTTTCAAGATGGTTTCCAGGGGGAATAGCGTGGAGATCAACCTGACATAGTACATTGCTAGCAATGGGGTAAGTCCACATTACTAACAATCTCCTTTTTTCCCTAAACAAGATAATACATAATACATCTTTTGTAACGTGTACTGTAAACTAGTTTTGTTAACGGTGTGTTGTTTACACACCAGGTCACATGTTTGAAAATAACACCTCAAAATAAAATTTGATAAAAAAAGATCAGATGTAGAGCGGAGCGCGTTTCTTTTTAAAAATTTGACCGAACAGAATTTTTTAGTGCTAAACGATGGAGGCCTGAAGGTCGACCTTAAGTCAAGCCGTTTCGGAGGAGTATCGTAACAAAGAGTGCGAATCTGATCCTTAAGATCGCTCCGCGCTTCGTGCCCCGCTCAATTAAAGATACCAATTTAACTAAATAACAATATGGTTTGCTAAATATTCAACTAAACCACATCAGTTCAGTTGTGGATAATGTATTAAGATTTTTAGCGTAGTCTACGAGGAATTATTTATTAGAGCTCTACCCTTGAGTTTAGAAGGTTAGATCGCTCAAGGTCAACCTTTATTATAAAAGAATAAAAAAAAAACTACGTGCCGTAGGTACATCCGTGCTCTATTTTAATGCTTATTAGCTGAGCTACAGCAAACCATGTGTTTATTGTTTTTTTTTTGTCAAATGTTGGTCCATTTAATCTATGACAATGGAATGTTCAATTCGCTAAAATGCAGGTGCCACCAGTGGTAGGTGATAAGATTAGGATGAATCTAATTTAAATATTTGGTGGCCTCGATAGTCTACCGATTTAACACATCGCCTTATGCCTAGTCATGGGTTCGATTCCTCGCCTGGTTCAAACATTATATCCATGAGTATGATTGTTTGTGTTAGTTAGGTGTTTCTATATGAGTGTATATTTTATGTAAATGTATCTATGTATTTCTATCAGTTTTCTAGTAGACATAACACAAGCTCTACTTAGCATGGGACTAAATGGCGCTGTGCGACTTATCCGTAGATAATATATTATTATTAGTCCGTCGTAGTGAATTAACCAGCAATTAACAACGATTATTTCCATGGGATAGTTTTATAGGGGTACCCCATAGAAATAATTGTTGTTAATTAATGCGCAATCTAGTCCTAGGTTTTAGTCAACTATTAAAAATATTTAGATACATTTTTTTTATATATACCTGCAAAATATACATAAACAACATTTATTTGTGGTCGGCGTAATATGTTTTCGCTAATACAACACAATCATAACCATCCACATTCATATAACAATTATTATCCTCGTTCATACTGTGAATACAAATGTTAATACTGACTCGAACCCGTCACGGATTCGGCATTAATGCGGTGTATCAAACCACTACACCACCGAGGTTGTTATAATATTTGTATAGATTATATCCTAGCTTGAGAATCTTTCGAATTAATTGTTTTACTTCGGTAAACATTTACAACAATATCAACATAGTATTACGCAGTAAGTATATTGTGAAAGTGTTCATTACATGCATTTAATGCACTAAAACTGAAAAAAAATGCGTTAGCGTAATTAGTTAGTTATCAAGGCTGCCGTTACGAAACATTGTCAGTGTTAGAAAATTAAACAACATTACAACGGGCCATGTTTATATAGATAATCTTTATAATGAATACCCGGGTAATTTACTTAATTGTATTTGAAATACGATAGAGAGGGTATTACTACATTAAATATATATTAGACTAACTGCGCCTGCGGCTTCTCGCGCTTGATACTTATAACCTATGTGTTATTTTGATGTATAAGCTATATTACTGTAAAGTTTCATGAAAATCTTTTCATTTCTTTTTGCGTGAAAGAGTAACAAATATCCGTCCATACTAATAATTTGCATGTATAATATTAATCGAATTAGATAAATTTTGCTATATCAATGGCGGGATGATTATATTTCAATTATATTTGGTAAACTCAAAAATATTAAAAGACTTTTTCTGATATAGAAATTGTTATTAGCTATTGACTAAAGCAAAATATAATTTTAAAAAATACAGATTACTACAAACAAGGCACTCGTGTTAACTCTATTGACTACGGTAGTTTATTTATTAAGTTATTTTATAGATTTTCATATGTCATCTGTGATTTTTAAACAAAATAGTCTATGAAAAAAAAATATTGTTATTGTTAATTGACTAATAGATTTCTAGTTACCTATTTTTTACCCTTCATATTACGATATATTCTACTACAACTCTCTGTAAATATACTACATATACGTATTTGTGCAAATGACAGATAAACCCGCATCAAAATCCATGGTTTAGTTTAAGCATAGCAGAAACAAGGGGACCTAAGATAACAAGAAGTATCAATCTTTATGGTAAATATATCTAGAGAAGAGTGTCGTTTGAAAACACGCAAGTTTCGTAAGAGTACAGAGTCTGAATAATGTTTTTAACGACGGCCAATTGTACATTTATTTAATATCACCAAGCAGAATTATTTTCACCGACAATTATATGTTTAGTGAAATAAAAATATTTTTTTAATTAATTAGTTATATAAACTCAGTGAGCCAATAAACTTTCGGTTAGCAACAACTATATGCGTCCCTCTCCCGT